TCGATGGGAGCAACATAACTTGATATCTGTCTTCAGCATTATCAAGCGAGTCTGTGCCACTGCTTGTGCGCAATGCTTGAATGATGTACATCGGGCTAGGCAGGGTTGTGAAGCCACGTCGCTCACGTAATGATCGCGATAGCCTCTGCTAGCGCGATCACTTCTCAAGCCAGCGCGCGAGAAACTCCGCTAATTAGCAGGAGAACAGGAATGGCACTCGCGGTAAATGCGAGTGTGAGTGCATGCGTGGGCAAGCGAGTGCTCCTCAGTGGACCACGCGCGCCAATGCCTTGGTGCGCGTTTGGCAACGCACACTTGCCCGTGGAGAGCTGTGAGCGCGACGTTCGAGCAGGCCGGCGGGAGCGCAGGGCCAGCTTCGGGGGAGGCTTGGGAGCAGGCCAAGTTTCGAGCGGTGATTCGGGGCAGGTGGGGGGGTCCATTCTGACATGAAGGTTGAGGCGAGCATCGCTCCACAGATGCGGGGCGTTCCAGGAAGGGCCTCGGCTTCGAGGATCGGCCACTTCTTCCACGGCGGAAGGCCCGTGGCAGGCGGCTGCAGCAGAAGGAGGTTGGCTCGGACGGCAGAGGCTGGCGGAGGTCTGGCGGAAGGCGGCGGAAGCAAAACATGCGTTCCCGAGAGATTCATGTTTTGTTGGGTTCAGGGTTCCCAGGACCCGTCGTATACATATATATATATATACATATATACACATATATATATGTAGAACGATATACGTATACAAGGCTGCATGGACGTTTCGCGCCATGCACCTTGGTCCTCGAAGTTCAGTATGCAGGCGGGACGGCAGGAACGTGCAACCGACAATTTAGCGATATTAGCGATAACGCCTTCTTGCCCTTTCCGGTATTGTCGTTCTTATTCCTTATCCTTCTTCCATGCATCTTTTTTTTGCTCATTCTCGCCATCCCCTGCGTATTTCCCCCATCCTCAGCTCTTTTTGCGGAGGCTTTCTTTTGGAGAGCCTCTGGGGGCCAGCCTCTGGGGGCCTCACGGAAGTTCTTCCGTTTTTTAAGCCTTTGAAGGGCTCCACGGCGTCTTCTGGGGGCGTTTGGGGGTTTCCTCGGGCCACCCTGCCTCCAACCGCGGTCTCCTTGAACGACCGGGTCACGATTTGGAATATTTCGGAGGGTGTTTTGGGGCCATCTTGGGCCGTCATGGGGCTCTCTTAGGTCATCTTGGAACCCTGTTGTGCCGTCTTGGGGCTCCCTTGGACTGCCTGGAAGCCCTTTCGGATGGTTGTGGGGCGATTTTCGAGCTTCCCAGGCGGCTTCGGACGTCCAGAAGACCGCTGTCTTGGAGCGTCGGGAAGCCAAAAAGAGGAGAACCGAAAATTCACCAAGGACCGCAAAAAAAAAATTGGGGACGTTTCGGAGCGATCTTGGGGGTATGACAGCTTATTTGGGGTCGTCGTGGACCGTCTTGGGGCTCACTGGGGTCGTTTCGGGGGCGCGCTGGAAGGCCTGGAGCCTTCTGGGGCCGTCTTCGGGCTCTCGTGGGGTTCTCCTGGGTTGTTTGGAGGGTTGTCCGAGAGGCTTGGGGTGGGCCAAATTCGTTAGGGGATGGCGCTTTTTCAAAGGGTCCCCAGATCTATAAAACAAATGAATAGGAATAGATGTCAAATGAAAAAAACGAACATATGTTTTAACGATATGTTCGTAAAGATCCGAAGCACACGTATAGCGTGTCCCTCGTTGCCACCATTGCTCTTATCGCTAGCTGACACATTCCCTCAGATCCCATGCAGTGGACCATGTACTTTCGCACAGCTGCGTGCTTTCAGCAAGACAGCGTTGCTGTCCAGTTGTCTGTTCTGAGGGTGGTCGCATGGAGTGCAAACTGTTGCCCACCTTCACATCGCGCGCTGCGACCAGACGGGCTCAAGGTTTGCGATTTGTGAGGGGTCCAAGGATTACAAAAGGAGGCAGCAGAGATGGATTCCAATGCGCCAAAGCTTGCGAAGGTGGAGAAGGCCCGGGACAGCAATGCATTATTGGATATTCACGTCCGCGCTTGCATTGCTTAAGAGGGTCATGGTATTCAGTTCGGGCTTGAATCATACATTTGGATAGGTATCAGAAACCATGCGAGTTCGTGGGCATACGAATGCAAGGGGGAACAATGGAACCTGTTGGATTGCCTCGTCATGATGTTTTGTGTGCGTGTGTGTTTGAGTGAGGTTGGATCTGGCTTCTCCAGTAAGTGCTTTCCGTTTATTATGGCAAGAAGGGGTGCCTTGTCCTCCTCCCGTCTGTCCTCATAATTTTGTTCATCACCCGCTTCCCTCCTGGTCCTAAGCAGCGAAAATTGTAGGGGCCTCCACGGTCTGAAGGGTCAGCGTGGCCATCGCGTGCAGCGTGGTTGTTAGGAGATGAGTCGGTCGCTTGTTTGGCTCGTTGCCCGTGGCTCATCGTTGTCCTCGCGTGCCTCTCATGATTCAGCTCGGTGGCTCGTAGCCCAGAGTGGCCCGCCACCTATGGTCGCCAGTGGCCGTGGCATCCTTCCGCAACAGTGCACACTAAATTCTTGAAGGTCTTGACCGTATGGTGCATTCCTGCACGGTGAGATCTCAGGCGTTTGATCACCTGCGTCTGGCGTGTGCTGTACAGGGGGTTACTGGCGCCTTCGAGACTCTCCGAAGAATCATTGGCATCCAGCCACTTAGGAATACCGCAGTGCAGTGATGCTGCATGTCATCCGTTCTGCTTGGCGATCTGAGCGCAGGTTGTGTGTCCCGTGCTGCCTGCACTCCCTGCACGGCTGCACCTGGCGGCGGGCACGCACCTCACGAAGACTTGTGCCCATCCTGTGTGCAGTGCCTCCTCCATGCCTGCGAGGTGCCGCCGATCCTCACCACCCACCAAACCACCCCAACCCAACCCGAAGGCTCAGAATTACCCTCGATTTCCAGTGGTGGGGGGCTCGGGAAACATCGAAATTAGCCTGACGAGGGACCCAACCATATGCAGGTGCGAGTACCGCAATAGTGATTCATTTTTTCGGTGGCGATCCCTATGAGGCAACGAACCGTGCTAGGGGCGTGCCGACATGAGTGGCGTGGTACACAAAGTGAACGAAAACGATTGATCTGAGTACGTAGGGAGACTGAGCGCGGGTGAATCTGCGCGCGTGCGTCTGACTGTGAATGATCTGCGTGCGAGCGAGTCTACGTGCATGAATGCGAATATGACAAAGCGTGGTGCAAATGTGTATGAATGCCAATAGTTTGACAACGACTGCCTCTGAATACTCGTGACGCTGGGCGTGGCCGCCGCAAGGAGCTTCCCCGGGACTCCCCGACGGCATCGCCCGCGCGCCGCGACGCCAATGTCGGCGCGCCCCCCCGCGAGGATCGCGCCCGCTTCCTCCCCTTCCTTTACTCCCTCTTTGCCCGCGCACTCAAAAGTCCAAGGCTGCGGGAGCAGCGCAGCGCGGAGCCCCCGCGACGCGCGCAGGTCACCCCGGAGGGGTCCCAGCGACGCGCGCGGGTCGTCCACTGCGCGGAGCGAAGAGAGCTAGCTGGCTGGCTGATAGCGGGCAAGGCTCTTGCCGCTGGGCAGAGCGACGACGGGCGAGCGAGGCGCTGGGCGGAACGCAGCACGGAGCCCCCGCGACGCGCGCAGGTCGCCCCGGAGGAGTCCCAGCGACGCGCGCGGGTCGCCCGCTGCGCGGAGCAAAGAGAGCTAGCTGGCTGGCTGGGACCTGCGGTGGGGCTCCATATGGGGCCACGTAACGCTGTACTGGGCAAAGGAGACGCATGTGGACTGCGCCACGGGGACCTTCGGTGGAGCTCCCTATGGGGCCACGAAACGTGTGAGGGATGTGCCGGAATGGGTGTGCGGGACGCATGCGGGCACTGAGACCTTCGGTGGAGCTATGGGGCCACGGTGAGACCTGTGCGGGACGCATGGAGCTCCTTCGGTGGATGGGGCCACGAAACGTGTGAGGGGTGTGCCGAAATGGGTGTGCGGGACGCATGCGGGCACACCCACTGGGACCTTCGGTGGAGCTCCCTATGGGGCCACGAAACGTGTGAGGGGTGTGCCGAAATGGGTGTGCGGGACGCATGCGGGCACACCCACTGGGACCTTCGGTGGAGCTCCCTATGGGGCCACGAAACGTGTGAGGGGTGTGCCGAAATGGGTGTGCGGGACGCATGCGGGCACACCCACTGGGGCCTTCGGTGGAGCTCCCTATGGGGCCACGAAACGTGTGAGGGGTGTGCCGAAATGGGTGTGCGGGACGCATGCGGGCACACCCACTGGGACCTTCGGTGGAGCTCCCTATGGGGCCACGAAACGTGTGAGGGGTGTGCCGAAATGGGTGTGCGGGACGCATGCGGGCACACCCACTGGGACCTTCGGTGGAGCTCCCTATGGGGCCACGAAACGTGTGAGGGGTGTGCCGAAATGGGT